CCATTCAATATGATCAACTCAGTACCCTGTTCCTGCTTTCTCCCCAAACCCTTCAGCTCCAGAGGCTATATCTAACTCTTTCTTGAAAACATTCAATGCTTTGGCCTCAACCACTTTCTGTGGCAGAGAATTACATAGGCTTACCACTCTCTGGGTGAAGAAATTTTTCCTTATCTCAGTCCAAAATGGTAGTGGTTTGAAGAAAAAGGGAGGCAAGTGCTACGTTAAGCTTTCATTGCTTTTCTGTCCCACAATGGGCCAACCCGTAAATGTAAAAACAAGCACTATCACAAACAATGAAACATAGTCTCTCTACAACAGCAAGTGGTGTTTTTCCACTTACAGACTATAGTTAAAAATGGAGAGATTGTAGGAGGTAAATGCATGGCCTTTCAAGGTGTGAAAGCCTGTCTGTAGGCATTCAACTGTGTTAGGACCATGGGAGACAGAAGCAAGGGCAGGGGTTGGCTCTCAGCAACACTAGGTTCTGCCCTGCAATTATGTGCAGATAAACATCTGCTTTTCAGGCCTACTGTATATGAATCTTTTCAATTTTCCTGCTACCCGTAGACAAGAGGACATTACTGCTAACCTTCATTCTTCCCACGGTGACCTTAAAATGGAGAGCTTAAAGGGGTGTTTCCAACATTTTGTTGGAAAAAATTTGTATATCAATCTACCAGAAATACAATCTGAGCTTTACTTTTATGTCTAGAAGCTCTTCACTTAGCAAATAATTGGGCCAACACTTCAGGTGCAAAGGTTGCCACAGGCATTAACGAGGGCAGAGAGTTGCCTACACCTACTCCATACGAGGTCCAAATCCCAATCCTCATTAAAACTGACCCCTTTGTCAGAATCTACTGTACATTTCTCAGCTCTTATGTGCTGTAAAATTTAACTTCACTGAGATAAACTTAATAACAGCATTTTTACATAAATTACACAATGACATGCAAAACAGGAGTACAAATAGACCATTGCCCCTAAAACCTCCTGGCCATTTAATAAGACCATCGGGTACGTGTTTGTGTTTCAAATTCCACATTCCCATCTCTCCCACCTACCCCCCACCACCACCCCCACCCCAGCAATCCTGGATTCCCTTGCCTAACAAGAATCTATTCACCCTCTGTCTTAAAACTACTCAATGACCTTGCCTCCATAGTCTTCTGAGGCAGACATTTTGAAAATTGTACAACCCTTAAGAAAATAAATATCACCACCCGTGGCATGATGGCTCAGTGGTTAGCACTGTTACTTAGTTCATTACTGCAAACTCATTTTAGTTTGCTTACCTGGTTGACCTGGCACCAACTTCAAAAACTGCCAGCTGCAATTCACTGACTGCTTTAACTGATGGCTCTGGGCAGGGAAATGGATAGGGATGTTTCAACATGGTGAGTACTTGGCTGTATGTTAAATTCTACAAAACATGCAAGCATGTCAAGAAGCCAGCTCCAAGCAGTTATTTCTGAAGTTAACTCCAACTGACTGCACATAATCCTCTCCGAAAAAGTGAGCCGTTAATTTCAATGTAATGATGGATCTAGTTGAATGCTATTAACATGGGTTTTGCAATTCAATAGTGGGTCTACAAGTTTCCAAGACTCCCTAAAATTTGCTAGAGAACACAAGACAATGCATGTGATGTAGCCATTTGGTGCTTTTCTAAGATTAAACAACTGTCAGCATGAAATCTGGGTACACAGCACCACTATCCTCCGGCAGGCTGTGTGACCAATCTCTAGCTGCATCTATTTTTCATTTGTGGATTTATACTCCTACCACCAAGGTATAGAATTTGCCTACTGACCGTTATGGTTCCCAGCAGTGCATTCAGGGCAGCATCACTAAAATAAGACGAATTTTGAATGTCTGAACCACTGTTCCCTCCATTTTGTTTTGAGTGTGTCAACTCTTTAATTGAGTTTCCCAGTAAATTTTTTGCGTAGCCATGCAGTAATTAATACGCTAACTTGCGCAGGGGATTTTCTAGTTATTATGCAGATCTGTGGCTTACAGCTAACTCGAGTTCAGATGTTATTTTAAATTCCTTCTTTTGTGGTCCCAGTTCCAAAGTCCATCAAATTGCATGCCTAGAGCATCATCTTATATCCTGAAGTTACATTACCTTGTGGTTGCCATCAGACTCTCACACCAGTTGGTCAGGGAATCCAAAAAGGATTTGGTAATGCAGCGGTCAGGTTAAAACACCACTGACAAACATGTTGGACTGGCATCAGGGTTTTCCACAGGCTGCCAAAATCTCCCCTCCTGCCCCACTGCATGGTGAAACTTAAATACAGCCTGAAGTCTCTGTCAATAACAGATGGATTCAGCATATCATGGCCCTCCCCTCTTCCAGGCGGTCTCAGAATTACTGGCAAAGTCATAACCCCAAGTTGTGGCATCCTTTAAAATGAGATCAGAATGTGTGAACTGGACTTTTACAGTGGTGGTAGGCTGTGGTAGGCTAACCAGTTAGAATGTTAGTAACAAGGTGCCTTACAGGTACTTTTGTGGAACAATGTGAACTATTGTTATTAATAGCATGCCAAATTTAGAATTGTGGATTACAATTTCCCCTACCATTTAATTCCTCAGACTGTCATTGTGTAGGCTGAACATAACCTGAAGTGCTCTTTTCTGGGCATCTATCTGTTTTGGATCAATGGCCTTCTATTGATATGAAGACTTTAGGCTAAACTTCGACTATGGGCCAGATTTGGCTAGGCAGGTAGCTGCGAGACCTGGAAACCCATCAGTTATAAAGTGTCCTAGCTACCAGCTTAATAGAGTAAATTAAACTTGGGAATAGTCAGCTCCCAGCTGCTCCAGAGCAAGTAGTTAACCTAGTGAATTCTAACGGTCCACACACCTAGCTTCCTCTCAGTGGGTACAGATGAAGCCATCCCCATTGTGTAACCTTGGCAGTCAACTCCTTACAGCTGTTGATCGCAGCAATACAATTTGAGCAATTTTTTAAAAAATAAATTCAATACTGGGAAGAAAAATCTAGTTTTCCACAAAGATATCAATATCCCTGTAATGATTCAAGCGTACGCAACTGCCTTGATTCATTCCCCCTCCCACCTCATATTTTGTGGATTGGAAACAAACATTGCTGTATATTAAAAATTCTCAATACTGCAACACGTTCAGTGATTAGTGGAACTCACGTACTCAAAACTTGTTTAGTGAAGTCTGCACATCTTATTGCAACATAAATCTGCTGCAGTGTTATAATATATGTGAGCTCAATGATTAATTTGAGCATTTTGTTTTGTTATTACTCTATTTCTTTATGCTGTTCACCTGTTGTCAGTAGTGATGGCCCAACAGCAATGAGAAATCAAATCCTCAGGAACTGTCTGGCCTCCCCAATTATCTTCATAAATCAATGTTGAGGATGAATTATTGATCAGACAAAGTGATGTTGTGAGCTGACAATTGTAATGAAGAAACCCTTGAGCATATCGATCGATTGTGTAGTTAATACGGTAAATCCCCAAATATCAACAAATTCTTTTTAATTGTGAATATGTACAGTCTGCACAATTTTATGCCAAAGTATGCGGACCAAGCAATTACTGTACAATCCCCATCCACACACAGCCACCTGCATGACACGTGAATGCCCTCCAGTTCTAAGGGCTTGTCTGCATATGTTTAACTGACAGAGCCAAAGTACAAGAGGAGGACATGCGAACCTCAATTTTCCAATAAATCTGCCAACACTTCATAAAAACTTCATGGTAGACTAATTATTAAAGTTAGGTCACATGGGATTCAGGATGAGCTTGTCAACTGGATACATAATTGGTTTAATGGCAGGGGACAGAGAGTGATGGTGGAGGGTTGCTTTTCGGATTGGAGGCCTGTGACCAGCAGTATTCCACAAGGATCGGTTCTGGGTCCTCTTTTGTTTGATATTTTATATAAATGATTTGGATGAGAATATAGAAGGCATGGTTAATAATTTTGTGGATGACACTAAAATTGGTGGCACTGTAGACAGTGAGGAAGGTTTTCGAAGATTACAAAGGGATCTTGATCAAATGGGTCGATGGGCTGAAAAATGGCAGATGAAATTCAATCTGGATAAATGCGAGGTATTGCATTTTGGTACAACAAGCAAGGGTAGGACTTATACAATTAATGGTAGGGCCTTGGGTAGTGTTGTTTAACAGAGGGACCGGGAGGGGGGAGTGGTGCAGGTACATAATTCTTTAAAATTTGCGTCACATATGGGCAGGATGGTTAAAAAGACATTTGGAACGCTTGCCTTCATTGCTCATTCCTTTGAGTATAGGACTTGGGACGTTATGTTGAGGTTGTGCAGGACATTGGTGAGGCTTCTTCTGCAATACTTCCGGTAGCCCAGTTATAGGCAGGATATTATCAAGCTGGAGAGGGTTCAGAAGAGACTTACCAGGATGTTGCCAGGTATGGAAGGTTTGAGATTTAAGGAAAGGCTGGAGCGTAGGAGGTTGAGAGGTGATCTGATAGAAGTTTATAAAATAATGAGAGGTATAAATAGAGTTGATGGTAATTGTCTTTTCCCCAAGATTGGGATTTTAAGACTAGGGGGCATATTTTTAAGGTGAGAGGAGAGAGATTTAAAAAATACATAAGAGGCAATTTTTTTACACGGAGGGTGGTTTGCATGTGGAATGAACTTCCTGGGGAAGTGGTTGTTGTGGGTACAATGACCACATTTAAAAGACATTTGGATGGATATGTGAATAGGAAAGGTTTGGAGGGATACGGGCCAGAGCAGGCAGGTGAGACTAGTTTAGTTTGGGATTATGTTCGGCATGGGCTGATTGGACTGAAGGGTGCTGTACAACTCTTCTGACTCTATAACTGAACAATGGAGATGAGAGTTACCGGCTCCATAACAAAACATCCCAACTTAATTATAAAAGATATATAGTTTACAGAAGCCATACAAATCAGCTGCTTTATGCTCTTGTGATACATATTAACATTCTTACCTGATTCTTGGAGATATCGATAAACCAGGAAGTTTACTTCATCACTAGTTATGCTCATCTTAGCCCCACCTCAAATTATGAGGTCTACCAGCACTGAAGTCTATGCCCTGTTGGATAAGGACAAAAACAAAATGCTAATTTAATTATTTCTCAAAAGGTGAGGTGACAATTAACTCCATTGGTTATAAAGTAAAACAGGTTCAAACAATTATATGGACTTCTGTTCATTCTTTACCCAAAGACTTTTGAATATCATAGAACATCAAAACAAAAATTGTTTTGCTTTGAAAACCAAAGAGGCCGTCATAAACATTGGGGCAGATTTTCAAGTTCCTGTATACATGCTTGCATTTGATCACCCAGAGGCAGTAAATAAAGAAAACTTGTATTGATAGTTTACAACCAAATGACCTTAGAGAACATTAATAGTCAACCATTCGTATGTGGAACTGCAGTTGTTTGTAGGACGACTGATGGGGCTGGCAACAGCTTTTCCCTGAAAGATACAGGTGACCTACTTATGTTTTACAGGTAAGCTAGAAGATTCAAAGTTCACCTTTCTGTTGCTAACCCTCTGATGATCAGACTTACTGAATTCAACTCGACAGTTTACCATGGTGAAATCTGAATGCTGGTCCTTTGGGTTGTTGATTTAGTATCATAAGGAAGATGAAGTCACAAATTACAAAAAAACAGAAAATACCCATTTGCTTCATCCAAGTCCATGTCTGATTGTTCTATCATGGAGTTCTCCCATCACCATCCCTTCATCCTCACCTTCAAACTGTTCAGGTATCTTATGTGCTGTTACATAATTCTTGTATCTTTGAAAATCTTTTTCATTTGAAAAACTAAGGATCAAGTGAGTAATATTTCCACTTGAAATTCATGACAATTATGGACAGCAGTAACCTATAGATAATACAGTAAATTCTTCAATGCAAACTTGGTCACATATTAAAGAACACGTTTATGCCACAAATGTTATTCCTGCACTGTGAATATAAGCATTTAAGATTACAAAGTTTTCAGCTGTACAATGCCATCTTTAAACCTTGCTTGCACTACAACTAGGAAATCATTTCTTAATTACTCCAGAGAAAGTTCACAAAAATTTCCAAACCTCCCCTGTCAACTATAATTATTGAAAACTATACCAACTCTTACCCTTTCCAACATAATTTTGTTTACAATTTTTCCAAGGAGGAACTATTACATTGTGTCAGTTTATAGTCATTCACATAATTATGAAAAAATGCAAGTCTGTCTCAGTGCAAGGATACACCATTTTAGGGATTGCAGCACTGAAATCAGTGATTACTGGACTTGATGTACAGTATTTCCACATTGTAAACATTATTTCAATATGCTTTAATATTCCTAAAATAAAACTCACACTAGAAGAACGCCTGTAGCTTCTCAGTCATATAAACATAACAAGGCATTCAGTCCCTCTGGTCCATCATTCAAATAAATCGTGGCTAATCTGTGCTTCACCTTCATTTACAGTCCACCTCTCCATAAACCACTGTTATATGCTTGCAAGACTCTTGCATTATTTCCGTGGCTGCCACCACCTCGAGGAGATCATGTATAATGAGAACATGCGACACTCGGTGCTGCTGATGCTGAACGACAAGTTCCGCAGCGTGTTGGTCGTTCGCAATCACGAAGATCCCATCATTTCAGTCTTCCAATCTCCCTTCGTGTCGAAGAAACATTGTTTTCTTTCAACCAAAATAATAACCGAGGGACTCAGGTTGGTGCCAACCATCCACCGCCTAGATAACATTTTGAACCTTTTCATTTCGTCTGTTTGCTTTATTTTATCCTCCTGGACAATTTTACTGCTTCCTGCTCACCAGCCGATATTCAGTTCTGAATACTTGTGAGAGATCCCAGGATAGCGTGCAGCCCCTGGCTAACTGAAGGTAAAGTTGTCATAGCCCCTAAGAACAGTCGAGCTACCCTCTCTCGTTAGAGAGAGGCCAAATGACGATGGTTTAACCTGAGGGGTCACCACACCTCGGGCGTGGATCAAGGTTGAGGACTTCGTGGTAACCTGAGCCAGTGCAGGAGTTGAACCTTCGCTGTTGGTTTGGTTTGGCTTTGCTTTGCAAACCAGCCATGCAATCAACTGAGACAGCAAGGTGTAGAGTTGGATGAACACAGCAGGCCAAGCAGCATCAGAGGAGCAGGAAGGCTGACGTTTTGGGCCTAGACCCTTCATCAGAAATGGGGGAGGGGAAGGGGGTTCTGAAATAAATAGGGAGAGAGGGGGAGGCGGATAGAAGATGGATAGAGAAGATAGGTGGAGAGGAAACAGGCAGGTCGAAGCAGGACATGGTCGAGCAGTTTCAAGGCCAAAGAGATTACGAGAGAGTTGCAGTGGGAGAGAGATCCCCTGAGGTTTGTCCGGAGGGAGGAGGGTAACTTCTTCAGGCTGGGCATCCCTAGAAGAGGCTTCGCAGTGGGGTTAAAAAATCTTCTCCTCTATCCATCTTCTATCCACCTCCCCCTCTCTCCCTATTTATTTCAGAACCCCCTCCCCCATTTCTGATGAAGGGTCTAGGCCCGAAACGTCAGCCTTCCTGCTCCTATGATGCTGCTTGGCCTGCTGTGTTCATCCAGCCCTGCACCTTGTTGTCTCGGATTCTCCAGCATCTGCAGTTCCTACTATCTCTGATTCAATTTTAACCCCACTGCAAAGCCTCTTCTAAGGATGCCTAGCCTGAAGAAGTTACCCTCCTCCCTCCGGACAAACCTCAGGGGATTTCTCTCCCACTGCAACTCTCTTGTAATCTCTTCGGCCTTGAAAATGCTCGACCATGTCCTGCTTCTACCTGTCTGTTTCCTCTCCACTTATCTTCTCCTCTATCCATCTTCTATCCGACCCCCCCACCTCCCTATTTATTTCAGAACCCCCTTCCCCTCCCCCATTTCTGATGAAGAGTCTAGGCCCGAAACGTCAGCCTTCCTGCTCCTATGACGCTGCTTGGCCTGCTGTGTTCATCCAGCTCTTGTTGTCTCGGATTCTCCAGCATCTGCAGTTCCTACTATCTCTGATGCAATCAACTGAGCTCACTGACACACTTCTAACTAGGGTCAAGTAGGTCAAACCTAAACCAGTGCGGCCACATAATCAGGAACAGAATTAACAGTTGCTTAGACGTGTGGATTAGGGAAAGCAAATTGTGGTTGAAGCAGCTTTGTTTTGTCTTTTGTTTTTAGTGAGCTAGCTGAGAGGCTCAATGAGGGTAGTGAAGTTGATGTGGTGCTGTTTCCGAAAGGTGTCTGATAAAGTGCCAGGCTTGAAAGCCAAGTTGGGAAGGGACAGCATTGGTTGTAGGACAGGAAATGGAGAGTTTAACAGCTTGGTGAAGGTCTTGGTGGACAGCGAGAGCCTTTTTCCTCGGATGGTGATGGCTAACACGAGGGGACATAGCTTTAAATTGAGGGGTGATAGATATAGGACAGATGTCAGAGGTAGGTTCTTTACTCAGAGAGTAGTAAGGGTGTGGAATGCCCTGCCTGCAACAGTAGTAGACTTGCCAACTTTAAGGGCATTTAATTGGTCATTAGATAAACATATGGATGATAATGGAATAGTGTAGGTTAGATGGGCTTCAGATTGGTTTCACAGGTCAGCGCAACATCGAGGGCCAAAGGGCCTGTACTGCGCTGTAATGTTCTATGTTCTATCTATAACTGAATTACATGGCTGCTCTGAGGCCATTTTAGATACAGTGGGTCTGGCATCACATATAGGCCAGTGCAGGCAAGGCTGGAAGATTTAGTTCCCTAAAGGAAGAACATTAATCAATTAAGACAACATAGTGTGGAGCAGGAGTAACACAGCAGGTCAGGCAGCATTAGAGGAGCAGAAAAGTTGACGTTTCGGGTTGAGACCCTTCTTCAGAAATGGGGCGGGGGAAGGGAGCTGGGAAACAAATAGGGGGAGGAGGGGTCAGGCTGGGGAAAGGTAGGTGGGATGGTAATATAAGGATGCAGATATGGAGTGGTGGGGCGGATAGGTGGGAGAGAAGATGGACAGGTTGTGTCAGGTCAAGGAGGCTGGAGGAAGGAGGGGTGGGATTGGGGAAGGTAGGTGGGGTGGTGATAGATGAATGCAGGTAGGGAGGAGTGGGGATTGGTCGGCAGGAAGGTTGTGTCAGGTCAAGGAGGCAAGGATGGGGAAATTTTAAAACTGGTGAATTCTATGTTAAGGCCATTGGGCTGTAGGCTCCCAAGGCAGAATATGAAGTGTTGCTCCTCCAGTTTGCGCGTGGCATCATTGTGGCGCTGGAGGCAGCCCAGGATGGACATATCATCAAGGGAGGAGGAGGGGCAGTTAAAATGGTTGGTGACTGGAAGGTGTTGTTGATTATTGCGTACAGATCGCAGATGCTCCACGAAATGGTCCCAGAGTCTGCGCTTGGTCTCACCAATGTAGAGGAGGCCACATCGGGAGCAACGGATACAGTAGACTAGGTTGGAGGGCATACAGGTGAACCCCTGTCGGATATGAAAAGTTTGCTTTGGGCCTTGGATGGAGGTGAGGAGGTGAGGGGGTGGGGGGGGGGGGGCAGTGGTATGCAGGGACAGGTGTAGCACTTCCTGTGTTTGCAGGGAAAGGTGCCAGATGTGATGGGGTTAGCGGGGAGTGTGCAGCAGATGAGGGAGTCACGGAGTGAGCAGTCCCTATGAAAGGCAGATACGGGTGGGGAGGGAAATATCTCTTTGGTCGTGCATTGTAGGTGGCGGAGAATGATACGCTGGATATGGAGGTTGGTGGGGTGGTATGAGAGGACCAGGGGGATTCTGTCTTTTTGTAGGGGGGAGGGGGTTTGAGGATAGAAGTGCAGGAAATGCAAGCCGTGCAGTTGAGGGAATTTTCGATCAATGGATAGGTGAAGTTGCGGTCCTTGAAATAGGAGGACATCTGGCACAGTAAAGGAAGAGAAAAGACTTCCGGTTTAAAGTGCATTTATTTCAATGCATGAGGCCTGAATGGAAAGGCAGATGAGCTCAGAGCATGGATTGGGTCTGGGGACTGGGATATTGTAGCCATAACAGAAACATGGCTGAGAGAAGGGCAGGATTGGCA